AGATTTGTGAGCTACACGTGTCGTTGGCAGTGCCGGCGTGTGAGCTATGGAGTTCCGTCCCCCGGTTGGACTACTCATCCCTGGACGCGGGTTAGTGTTCGGAAATCCTGCGTACCAGCTAACAATCCCCCGGTTGGATTGTCTCCCCGGTACATTAGTATGAGAGGAGTATATATTATATTAAAGTCCTAGCTATATATACATATATATATGGGTATTTACGGGTTGTTGAGAGTTGCATGTATTTTGGGAATGGGTGTGGACTTGAGATGTGGAGATGTTTTGGACTTTGGGATTTTGTGTTTGAGTTTTTGGTTTCTGAATTGTGAAACTGCATGCTAGAGCATTATTTTTACATGGTGGGGTTACTATGTTGATTTAAAGTGAAACTTTATTTCTGTCCACTCACATATTTCTGTTTTGCGCCCCCCAGACAGTAATTGCTTTCGAAGGCGTTTCGAGCAAGTCACGAGCTCCGAACTTGTCGTCAGTTGTTAGGGTCTGTATAAATTCTTTCTACTCCCCTGTTTGTTGTAAACAAATTCTGTAGACGCTCTGTTACTGCCCATGTTAGGCTATTACTTGAGGCCGGAGGCCATTTTGTGTTGGATTGTTGTATGTTAAAAGCATGCTGGCAGTTGGGATTTATTATGATGTAAATTATTGCAGGTTGATTATTGTTGGGTTTGAGCACTTTACAGGGGAGACTCTGCCAAAATTTTGGTAGGATGTCTTGGATTTTTTAGTAAGTGGGCTCGACATCAGTGTGATGTCGGCATTAAAACGGGGTCCGCCCCGGTTTCGGGGGAAATTCCGGGGCGGGTCCTGTCAGGGAAGGACTAAATTGTAGCTATCCTGAATCCAGGCCCCCAAGAATCATATCTTTGTAAGTATATCTATGTCACTCTCAGACCAACTTATAGAGGATTTCAGTATAATCCCATTTGAGTCTTGGCATTTGAAGTTACAAAAATTACATGCATTCGCGCAGGAATTTGTCCTCCAGTGACTTAAGAGGCCAGATATCTCCTTTTATAGCCAATCTCACAATGATACAAGCTTTGTAAGTGTGTTCGTACAGTATCAATGGTCAGAATTCCATTTGGCATAATTACTGTATAACCGATGAGTTGAGCTGCTCGAATATTTCAGGGATTTATCAAACAATGACTTGACAGGACCAATTCCAGACTTTTTGTCCCAAATGCCAGATTTATATGTCCTGTAAGTTATTATTTGGTTAGTTATGCATACAAATAAAACTAAACTACAAATCCTTTCGTTACAAGTTAAGCATGGCGATAGAGTATCATGACTTTACTTTTGCAGAAACTTGGGAAAGAACAAGCTGGCGGGCCCAGTTCCAGCAGGGCTTATTGACAGAAATAAATATGATGGGCTATCATTGAGGTGTGCTTTCTTCTTTTGGTTAGAGCTTAAACACTCACCCTAAACCCAGTTCGAGCTTGAATTAAGTGGTTAACACAGATGGCAGCACTTTTATATGTGTATTTTCAAGTTTGTTTCTTTAAAGGAAAATATCAATGATCAGGTAGCTCCCAAATTGAAAATATTATACAGGAATATACTATGTTGATGTCAATATAATTGATCATATTTTTACTATAGTTGCCATCAACCTTTTTATTTTTATTTTTCAGTCTGTGTGAAAATCCAAATATATCCAAATTAGGACACATTTCTTGCAAATCAAGGAAGAAGCAAAATGTCGTTATTCCTGTAGTAGTATCCATAATTGGAACTATGTTCCTCTTATTAACTGCAGCAGCTATCTGGTGGAGATGTAAAAGTGAAAAGAAAGACGGTAAGACTTCCAAATACTTGTTAAATGGCAGTTTTGTTCTTGTTCTATGTAAATATTCTTAATTATATTCATAGTGATGATATGAGTGTAGAGGAGATTAACAATTTTCATCCAAACAGAGCCATTCAAGATACAGGGTCGAAAATTTACAAAATCAGAGATCGACAAGATCACCAGCAATTCTACACTAATTGGAAGAGGCGGATTTGGAGAAGTCTACCATGGCACTCTGGAAAAGGATACTCAAGTTGCCGTGAAAATACTCAATTTATCATCAAGACAAGGGTCAGAAGAATTTCAAAATGAGGTAGATGCCGTCCAACTACATACATCTATATGTATTCAGTCATAGCCCTTTCTATTCAGTTTTCTAAAAATGTAGTAGCCACATGGGATTGCAGGTTAAACTATTGATGAGAGTTCATCATAGAAACTTGGTTTCTTTCATTGGCTACTGTGACGAAGGTGACACTATGGCACTTGTTTACGAATATGTTGGGAATGGAAATTTGCAACAGAAAATATCAGCTGCAGGTATATCGCTTACTCAACCAATAGTCTGGATCATAAGGAGATAAAAAGAAACATGAAGAGGGGGGGATATGAATTTGGGACATTCCCAACATTACAAAAAATAATAAGACTACCGACAGCTATAAACGTGTGATAGTTTTTCTAGCGCTTATAAACTTTGTTTCAATACAATTGGGATTAACTATATATTCACTAATCATTTTATCAAAACTTCACGATCCATCTATGATTCGGAATGTATGTTCCATTTGATTTACCTCATTTTTTTACAATTAAACACACAACATGGATAACTCTCTCTCAGGTGCAGATATAGGCTTGACTTGGAAGCAGAGACTTCAGATTGCAGTAGATACAGCACGAGGTAAACTCAGATCATCACCATCGTGTTCACAGACATAAACTTTTTGTGTGGAAAACATGTGTTAAATGAGACATTGCAGGATTGGAATATCTACATGATGGTTGCAAACCGCCGATACTACACAGAGATTTGAAGCCTTCCAACATCCTGTTAAATGAGACACTGCAAGCCAAGATAGCTGATTTTGGAATTTCTAAAGCTCTTGCAACTGAAACTGCTACTCATGCATTAACAGACCTCAGAGGAACATATGGGTACCTGGATCCTCAGTAAGTACTTTCAACAATTCATGATAGCCATTGTAATCTAAATATGATGTTACAACAAAGTGGTCAGTCCAAAAACAAAATATTAATTGCAAAGATAATTTTTTTTGTTGAACAGATATTGCACAACTGGACAGCTCACTAGAAAGAGTGATGTATACAGCTTTGGGATTGTCTTGCTGGAGCTTATAACTGGCAGACCAGCAATAATAACAGATGTAGAACCTGTCCATGTTAATGTCTCCGATTGGGTGAGGGCTAAGTTTGAGAGAATGGAAATTGAAAGCATAGTAGATTCAAGAGTACAAGGGACATACAAGTATTCTTCTGCACAGACAGCTATAGAAACTGCTCTGGCTTGTGTGTCAAAAACACCAACTGAAAGACCAGAAATAAGTTATGTGTATGACAGATTGAAGGAATGCTTGGAAATTGAGAAGTTTAAGTAGCTTTAGTCAAATGAACTCCCAAGTTCAGTCGAAAATATCAACTGTATATTATTACTAGTCCTTTGAATGTTGGTGTTCTTCTCAGGCTTCAGGTTTGGTTTCATTTTGTTCCCTCTGCTGGTGTTTTCATTTGGTTTGCTGGGTTCTTTGGGTTTCTGCGTTGCTTTTAGTTTTGTTTCTCTTTTTTCTTTCTGTTCAGTTGTTTTTTTGCTCTTGGACAGGGCCAGTCCTAGAACTTTAAAGATGTGTAAAAATAAAAGTTGACCAGAATGAGTAATTTACATTCAACCTTTCAATATGAGAAACCATATTTTATTGGTGGATTTAGCATTATGCTCATACACTCTAAATGTGAAGGGGGAATACAATGTAACAGATTAAAGAAATAATATAATTTTGGAGATGTGAAGCTCGAAGGCTACACAGAGCTCCTACACAAACTTACTTCAAACAAACTTCAATAAGATTGATATTCTTAGATTGATACTTCAAATGCTCCATTACAACACACACTCTTGATACACTTGATACACACGACATAGAGTCGATACAACACCTATTTATAGGCCATAATATTAACTCAACATTAAACATAATCATAACCATTATACCCACTAAAACTCACTTTTACTTCAACTCATAAACTAGACATAATAGCTAAACCCTTTATATTCTAACTTTTTATTTCCTTATCTCCTGACCTTTGAAATTACCCCAACATATTTGTTATGGCAATCAAGGCAAGTGTCTTGCCCTTTACAACTTGGCATGTGGAAGCTCAATGTTTGCAAGAGCCAAGGATAAGCCCTATGAAGCAAATCACTACTCACACATCACACTGTCTTAGAGGAACAAAGGCAAAACTTAATTTGAAGAAGATGGCCAAATTGCAGATTATAAATATACGATGTGAACAAGAAAGAGTTTCAATTTCCATCAGGCTTTACTTCTCACAGTAATATGGCATTACAAAGAAACTTGATTCTAGCTGTATTCTTATTCAACGCATTCAATCATCTAAAGATAGGAAAGAGCTTTGGACCTTTAGTGGTGCTGGCACGGTGAATATTTTACGCAATGGGTTTGTAACTCAAGTGTTTTCCCTCTATCCCCGAGTTCAAGTGTAACTGTGTTTGATCTTCCTCTCCCCATGTAATTCTTGTATATATATACAAACATAAAATAAAATTCCGCATTTTGCTCTTTCTTTGTGTAGTTTGTAAGTCTTCTCTTGTTTATTAATTATGACTTGTACAAGAAGGAAAGAGAACTGATCAATGCCTAAAGAAATATTGTCGAATGTAGATATAGTTTAATATCAAGTTGCCAACGATTGTGAGTTTGACTGGGTTGCAAAGTGAGAGGGACGGACGACAGTGATTTCCTCCAAATTAATTAATATTTTGATTTCTTTGGTATTATGTTTTTTCTCTGATCTTTCACTGAATATAACTTTTAATGTAATTAAGGTAGACTTACATGTTTTTAAAATTAATTTCCACCACCTTCTCTTAATAATAGTCTTTAATTATCATTGAAAACATTTTACTAAGGTTATTGAGTATCATGTCTCTTTGTATATACATTTCAGAGTCTTGCTTTTTCAAGATAATAAGGTTTAAAATAGGCAGGCAACTTGGTGAAAAAAGCTTGCCAAGTCTGCTAGGACGGTCAATGGTCATCATCTTGTATAAAATGTCATTCACTGGGAACAAATTAAATTTGCATTTGCTTCCCTCCCAAGTTTAATGATGTCCCCAGCATACAAGCAATTCCTCTTTGCAGTGCTTGTTGGTTTTGCTGTTGCGGTTTCAGTCGATTCTCAGAACCAAACAGGTATGAAATATGGATCCCTCAAAATATATCTCCCATCTACAATTTGACTAACACATGCATATCCAATTAGACGTCTCTCTGTTCATTATTTAATTATGTGTCCGCCACACTAAAAAATTACTCGTACATGTCTCAGGCTTCATTAGCATAGATTGCGGTCTACCGTATAATTATAGCTACACTGAAAGGACAACAGGCATTAACTATATTTCAGACTCGGCCTTCATAGACACCGGTGAAAGTGAGTACTTATTGGGTGAGTTGAAATTTTATCAGCAATACGGGTACCTTAGGAGCTTCCCTCAAGGAGTGAGGAATTGCTACAAAATAAACATTACAAGTGGCACCAAATATTTGATCCGAGTGGGTTTTCAATATGGGAATTACGACGGAAAAAATGAAGCACCCGAATTCGAACTACATATCGGACCTAATTTGTGGGAAATAATGAATTTCTCAATGGTTGTTTATGAAACAACCAGAGAGCTTATACATACCCCTCCGCAAGACTACATACATATTTGTCTGGTGAACACAAACAGAGGGGTTCCATTTATATCGTTAATAGAACTAAGGCCTTTACTTAGTACATCTTATGCAGAAACAAATGTGTCCTTGGCACTTGTCTCCCGCAAAGACACTGGTTTATTAGCTAATGATACAACATACAACTTCAGGTGAGTCACGTCTACTATTTGAGTCAAATCAGAAATCTTTTAACCATTTGATTATTATATATAATGAAATGTTTTCATTATTTATAGAAAGTATTGTGCTCCTCTATTCATGTATTTACAATTAGATGACTAAATGTTGTTCTATCTGACTAATTGTGTTTGCTTGAGTACATATATTACTATCGATATTGGTCCTAAATTTTGCTACAAAAACTAATGAGAAATCTATACTAATTTTTAAGGTATCCAACCGATATTCATGATCGCGTGTGGGATACCGAATCCGTTAATGATGAGGAGTTGCAATTAAGTACCCCAGCCTTGGTGAACAAATCTTATTTTCATGCTGATTTCCAAATACCTTCTGCTATCATGAGCACTGCTGTCGCCACAAAAAATGCAAGCGATCCTTTGGATGTTTACTTGGATGCTGTTGATAACAATCCAGAATATCATGTTTACTTGCATTTTGCAGAAATTCAAAAGCTCCCATCCCACCAGCAGCCCAGAAATTTATATATTGTTTTGAACGGACGGCCTCAAGAGCCGTCATTTGTTCTACCTTACTTGTCCACATATACACTTCACACCACCTGGCCCAGTACAATATTTTCTTCTATGTCAATCCTCAAGACTGACAACTCTACCCTTCCACCCATCCTCAATGCCTATGAGACTTACAAGGCTAAAAAGTTCTTACAATTGGAAACAAACCAAGGAGATAGTAAGTAGCTATAGCTAAATATCATCACTAACTGTCAATTTAATGCCTTGTATAATCGATTGATTTTGATGATATATATATGTTAACTAATTTGTTGCATATGAAAATATCAATTAGTTGATGCAATTGAAAACATCAAGTTAAGTTACAAAATCAGTAAGAACTGGCAAGGAGATCCATGCAGCCCTCAAGCTTACAAGTGGGGAGGACTAAATTGTAGCTATCATGAATCCAGGCCCCCAAGAATCATATCTTTGTAAGTATATCAATGTCACTCTCAGACCAGGGTTTCAGTTTAATCCCATTTGAGTCTTGGCATTTGAAGTTACAATGCACTTGCGCAGGGACTTGTCCTCCAGTGGATTAAGAGGCCAGATATCTCCTTCTATAGCCAATCTCTCAATGATACAAGCTTTGTAAGTACGCAGAGTCTCAAATGAGTTACTAATACGGTCAGAATTTCATTTAGAATAATTAGTAATTAGATGAGTTGACCTGCTTTGACATTTCAGGGATTTATCAAACAACAACTTGACAGGACCAATTCCAGACTTTTTGTCTCACATGCCAAATTTAACCGTCCTGTAAGTTATTATTTGGTTAGTCATATAATCCTAATATATTCGTTACAAGTTAAGCATGGTGATAGAGCATCATGACTTTACTTTTGCAGAAACTTGGGGCAAAACAAGCTCAGAGGCCAAGTTCCAGCAGGGCTCATTGATAGAAATAAAACTGATGGCCTATCATTGAGGTGTGCTTTCTTCTTTTACTTAGAGCATAAATTAATTGGATAACAGATATGCCACCACTTTACAAAGATGCCACCATTCTTCCATCTGGTTATTTGAAAATATTATATAGGGATACTTTATATTTTTTCATGTCAATATGATTTATCAAAATCTTACTACAGTTGCCATCAACCACTCTGCGTTTTGTTTCAGTCTGTGTGAAAATCCAAATCTACCAAATTCGGACATGTTTCTTGCAAATCAAGGAAGAAGCACAATGTTGTTATCCCCGTGGTAGTACCCAGTGTTGGAACTATCATCCTCTTATTAACTGTAGCAGCTATCTGGTGGAGATGTAAAAGTGAAGAAATAGATGGTAAGACTTCCGATACTTGTTAATGTTTTTCTTTTTGCTTTTGGGAAATTGATTCCGGTTCTATATAAATATTCTTAATTAAATTCATAAACAATTTCGTCCAAACAGAGCCAATCGAGCCACGGGGTAGAAAATTTACAAAATCAGAGATCGACAAGATTACCAGCAATTCTACACTAATTGGACGAGGCGGATTTGGAGAAGTCTACCATGGCACTCAAGTTGCTGTGAAAATACTTGATTTATCATCAAGTCAAGGCTCAGAAGAATTTCAAAATGAGGTAGATGTTGCCGAACTACATACATCTATATATGTATTCAGTCAGAGTTCTTTCTATCTTTTGCTGAAAGTATGGTAGCCACATTGGATTGCAGGTTAAGTTATTGATGAGAGTTCATCATAGAAACTTGGTTTCTCTAATTGGCTACTGTGACGAAGGTGACACTATGGCGCTTATTTACGAATACATCGTGAATGGAAATTTGCAACAGCATATATCAGCTGCAGGTACATCCCTTACTCAACCAGTAGTGGATCTTAAAAAGAAAAGAAGAAACAGGATGAGGTGATACGAATTTGGGTCATTTTCCAATGTTACAAAAAAGAATAAGACTAGACGGATAGCCATACATCTGATCATTTTTCTAGTATTTATATATACACTTTGCTTCAATGCAATTGGGATTGACTATATAGTGTACTTCACTAATATATGATTCGGATGTATGTTCCATTTGATTAATCACACTCATGTGCAGATATACCTTACAAGGGCTTGACTTGGAAGCAGAGACTTCAGGTTGGAGTAGATGCAGCACGAGGTAAACACAAATCATCATCATCACATTAATAAACATATATAAACTCTTGTGAAAAACATATTTCGTTAGACAATGGTTGCTGTCTTGAAATTTTGCAGGATTGGAATATCTGCATGATGGTTGCAAACCGCCGATACTGCACAGAGATTTGAAGCCTTCCAACATCTTGTTAACTGAGACGTTGCAAGCCAAGATAGCGGACTTCGGAATTTCTAAAGCTCTTGCAACTGATTCTGCCACTCATGCATTAACAGACCTCAGAGGAACATATGGGTACCTGGATCCTGAGTAAGCACTTTCAACAATTCCTGCTAGCCATTGTGGTGATATTTGTTACATATAAATATAATGTTAGAACAAAGAATCAGTCCAAAAACAAAATATTAATACAACATAGATTTTTTTTTGTAACAGATATTGCACAACTGGACAGCTCACTAGAAAGAGTGATTCATACAGCTTTGGGATTGTGTTGCTAGAGCTTATAACTGGCAGACCAGCAATAATAACAGAATTAGAAACTGTACCTGTTAATGTATCTGATTGGGTGAGGGCTAAATTTGAGAGAATGGAAATTGAAAGCATAGTGGATTCGAGAGTACAAGGGACATACAAGTATTCTTCTGCACAGAAAGCTATAGAAACTGCCTTGGCTTGTGTATCTAAAACACCAACAGAAAGGCCAGAAATAAGTCATGTGTATGACAGATTGAAGGAATGCTTTGAGATTGAGAAGGTTTCTGAGGAATTAGAGATTGGGAGTGGCGATGAGGGACGATTAATAACTCAAATCAGAGATTGCTTGGAAATGAACTCCCAGGTTCAGTCTAAAGGACTTACTGTTTAGGACTAGTCCTTTGAGTGTTGGGGTTCTTCTTAGGCTACTGGTTTGGTTGCAGTTTGTCCCTCTGGGGCAGTTTTTTTCTTCTTCTTTTTTGGGCTTGTTGGGACTAGTCCTTATGTTAAGTTGTTTGTTGCTCTTGGAGATGGCCAGTCCTAGAACTTAAAAGTTTAAAACATATGTAAAAATAAAAGTTGACGATATAAAGTTAGACATAATTGTTACATTCAACCTTCCAATCTGAGAAACCATAATTGCTATGGCAATCAAGGCAAGTGGTCTTTCCCTTTACAACTTGGCATGTGGAAAGCTCAATGTTTGCAAGAGCCAAATTGCAGATGATAAAATATACGATGTGATCATGATTCATGTGAGTGAGAGAGAGAGAGAGAGAGAGAGTTTCAATTCCCATTAGGCTTTACTTCTCACGGTGATATGGCATTACAAAGAAACTTTATTCTAGTTGCTTTCTTATTCAACGCATTCAATCATCTAAACAGGACAGAACTTTGGACCTTTGGTGGTGGTGGTGGGGTTGGGGAGCTCTGCCTTTAAACCATCTTCACATATTTAGTGCCTTTGCGCCATGACCACGACTCAGACGGCGACTTGGGCAGAGGTGGAAGCAACACAGCCTTCCGGCAAAGACCAAAGGGCCAGCCCTCACAATGACGGAATTGCTGAATTATAGACTGCCTCGGAAAATCTTTAAAATCAATCCCATTAAGGCTCGAACAGCGGGACAAACTTGTCTTGACAGAAAGAAACACATCTCTACTTGTGGCAGCAGTTGAGCAGCAAGAGAAGCAACTTTTAACAGATAAAAATTCTTCTTTCTCATCATCTTCTTCACCATGATCCTTTTTGTTTTGTACTCCTTTCTGGCTTATGAATAAATCTCCTGATTTTGAAGAGTAGACAAATGAAAAACTATCTGTCAAACTGCTAGGCTTGCGCCTCAGCTTTTCCATTGCAGCACTTCGAATTGCTGATACAATTACCTGAGAAAAAACACCAAAAAACTATAAAAGCAACCTACAAAACTCTCATAAGGGAATGAAAAGATCATATCTAAATATTCATTCGGGTGCTTAGTGGATACTTCCTGTTCCTCATCAAAGTCACTTGTTATGTACTGATCCTCTGCTTCTGGGCTAGAAGTTGGAAGCCGTCTGCCAATATGGCAATTGGAAAACGCATCTGTGAGACAAGCAGCAAGAAATTTGCATCTTTTGGAAGGATTTGGTGGCTCTTCTTCATGATAAAAGATGCTCATGTTGGAGTTAAAAGTTTCTGTTGAGTGTTGGTTTGCAAACCACAGGGACTAAAAGATATCTACAAAGCTAGCGTCGGTGTGTGTTATTCTTACTCGACTTGATGTCCAAATTGACCTGCATATGTGATAGTGGCCTCTCAGCTTATTAGAAATGGAGAATATTGCTTTATATCCTTTGGGGTAAAGAAAAAGCTAAAGAGAAAGCATTAGACGTTTTAACAAAATCCAAACCCCCCCTTTGAGGTTGCAACGCTTACTTGTTCCATTGAAGACCCTTCATCCGTTTCTTTCGTTTTTCCTACATTAAGTGCCTCTCCTGTAGTTTTCAAATTTACACTTAAAGTTGAAGCCATGGTGAACTAGGACATCTTACCAAACTGCGCTACATGTCAAATTTGCCAAAAGTGAGAAAGCCTGCCCCCGATTTCAATGGAAGATACAGAAACAAGTTAACACACCCAAATTTCATTTTTATTGAAAGCAATCAAACTAGTTAAATTTAAAAGTGCGGTTGCCCAACCAAAAAAGTAAAACAATAAGACATGGAGTTCTTTAAAAACCCTTAGGCTGCGTTTGGTTCATGGTGAAGGAAGCTTGCAAATGGGGAAATCAATTGCCCATAATTGGTAAGCCAGGCATAGAAAATGGGTACCCGGCAGATAGGAAAATAGGGAAGAAAATGTAACCCTCCTCCCCTTTGGGTTTCATTTTCCCTTCCCATGGGAAACTTTGATGTAATCAAACAACTACACCAAGGTTAAAACAAAAATGAAGGAAATTATGTACACAATAGGCTCATACTAGGAATTAACCTTATCTTCGGCTTTAAAGCTTAAACCTATCACCTACCAACCATCCTCGTGAAATCTGCTTCAAAACAATAATGTCAACATGTCCTCGTGTTTCCTAATTAATTGTTCCATTCAATAGCTCCCAATTCTTGTTGCCGAAATCCACATTGCATGATGAAAACATAGAAACAGAAACCTCAACTTTTTCTTCACCAAAAAGCAAGTTGTCATAAGAAGTTCAAGTCAAAGTGCCATAAACACAAAGAACCAAAAACTGTGTTGTCGTAATAACTTCAGCTTGTGGACTTTTGGAGCTGCTGTGATGTGAGAGAGATAAGAGAATGAAGCTTAGACACAGCAGAAGTCTGATCAGGCGGGCATTTGGAGAGAGAAACGTTCAGAGATTGAAGAGCCTCATCAAGCTTGCCAGCTGCCAAGGCTGCACACCCGGCCTTGTAGGCTTGGTCCGCCATGCGAGCACTGTATTCAGGTTGAGGAGAGCTCTCAAACCTTGAGATTGAAGAAGAAGATGGAGAGTCGACCGGATCAGTGGCACGTGCATATTCAAGATTGCAAATTGCTGTGTTGATCTCTGCCATGAGTGCTTCCGGCATGGCTTTGATAGTCTTCAGTTTCACACAATCAAAGACACTCCTCCATTGGGAGATTTTTTCTGCAGAACCCATCTCAACAGTTTGACTCAGGACCTGTTTCCGATTATAAGAACGACCCAATTGTGAATTTTACTTGTTATTGCCCAAAAATACAACCTTTGATGAAATTAAATTTCTTTCATTTCACAAGAAGAACAGAGCCCTAATTTTCTTTTGTGGAGAACCCAAGAAGAAGAAGGAAGAAATTGTACCTGGAATGAGAGAAGTGGGCGTTCAATTTTCTTCAATTGGTGGCAGATCCTGAAACCTGATCAGAGCTCTGAGAACCGTAGACCCAATTTTTGATCTTCCAATTTTGTATATTTCTTGTTAGTTTTGTTAGTTTCATTTTTTCATTTTTCCTTTGGTTGGAAAGAAAAGAAACCAAAATGATGGACATATATGGACCTCTCAGATGGGCCAGTTCTTGATCCAAATCAAACATGTACAAAGGCCCATACAAGTACAACTACCCTTTCGTTCATCTTTGTTTCTGATCTCACTTGCTTTGCAGGCAAGAAAAACTTTCAAATCTCAAAATCAATTGTCCATTATATGATTTTAGATTGATAATATTCTAAGGCATATCTCTAAAATTTACATCTAATTTCACTCCATATCAAGTTGACTTCTCAAGCTACAAACTGTGACACCAAAAACTCTACTTCCATTCAATGGTGATCATCGATTGAAACAAAATGATCTGAATTGATCAATATCCGAACTTTCAAGGAACAAGAGCCACAAGGAAGGACAAGTGAAGCAGGCAAAGCATTTTGTGCCTCGAAGGATATCTTGCTTCCATCTCTTAACAAAGCATACCCCATCTTCTCCAACTCCAAAGAATCAACAAAGAAATAATCACCGCATCGACACTGGTAATAGAGTTGAATGACCTCTCCTGCATCCTCAGCCATCACATCTTCTAAGCTGATGTCTTCTGCAACTATAGCATCATGTCTGGAAGCTCGAAGGGCAATGTCATAAAGTGCACGAGCCCTCGAATCACCAAGGATTTCCCAAGCCTTTTGCACCTTCAAGAACCTATCTCCTGACCCAGATGTATTTTGTGATTTATCAGGATGACTATTAAGGATGGCAGATCGGTAGCTTGCTCGGATATCTTCATAGCTGGCATCTTGTTTCACAGATAGTATGTCATAGTGAGTTTCCTGAATGGAGTAGGTGTCAAGAACCATGGTTGTAGCTACTTGTTATCAGCTTAGCTTCACTGCATATGAAATCAAAAAAAACATTATGAGAAAACCTAATAAACCATCAAGTTCATCTCACTCATCCGATGCTTGTGTTCAAATTGCCACACCCACATACAAAATTAAGGTTTGAGATCTTTGCCTATCCAAAATATATAAACAAACCAAAAGACATAAGATCAGGCATTAAAGACAGTTCCAAAGGATAACAAGGAAATTGACATTGAGCAAGAAAATACAATCGAATACAAACATCGTTGACCCATAGAAATATTTTTTCAACTCAATAAACATTAGCCCCTCTCCATCCTTCTCGATTTTAAACCGGGAAAAACAATGGTGCCGGCCAATGCAGTGCATGAATGTGGACCAAAGTTCAGAGCTGAGGCCTTTTTTCTTTTTCTTTCATATTTAATTTCTGTAAACTCCGTGACAACAAGAGCTTGAATTCATCTGTGAAACAAAGTTCTGAGCTAAAAATGTTCGAAAAATCGCTAGGTGGTAGGCGGACAGCAGCGGCCTAGCTTCTAGAGAAGAAACGGGGCCCAGGTGCGCATTTCTTTTTTAATAATTATTTTGTATTATAAATTATAAATTTATAAATTTATAAATAAAAAATCATGCAAAATAAAAGGATATATAAAAATCTGACTTGTACTTTTGTATTTTCTGTAACCTTGATATTAAAAAAAAAAAACTGCAAAAAAAACGTATGTTTCAAAAAAGGCCCATTTCAATACAAGCAGCGCCTCCTTCGTCGCCACCTCCTGCGCGCTTCAACCGCGCCTCGTCGGAGCCTCAACGGCAAAACGCCCGCCCAGGCGCCGCCTAACTCCCTGGCGCCTACCCCCAACGATTAGGGTGAAATCGCGGCGGTGTCCTCCCGCCTAGCGCCTAGGCCGATTTTTCGAACACTCTAAAATCTGAGCTTCGTTTTGGAAACCAATGCAGCAAACTAACTAAAATTTCAATTTCAAAGATCGAAGCTTTAAATCAGAGATAATAGCACAGATTCGAAATTCCAGAATCGCTAAACAAAAAAGTATGAAAACAAAGCGCCAAACTTCAGAACCAGATTGAACCAAATTGTTTCTTTTCATGAACCAACAATGCACAAATTCAACCAAAAGGAAAATTAAAAATACAAAGACCAAAGAGAAACACAGAAATAAGCTCACCTCGAAGTTCATCTGGTGGGCCAAGCGAAATCCAATCTAACAAAAAATAGGCATCATCCGAGGGAGCAGATGCAAATTAAGTGCAGCAGGCAGATGCAGTCGAGAAGAAAGATAAAGAATTTAAATTAAATTAAAAACTTCGGGGAGCAAATGCCGAAACTTTACAGTGGAAAACCTAGCCTCTGTCGAGAAGAAAGGCTTGGTGTGATTAAATCAAGTTTTGAAATTTATGTTTTGACCCCAAAGTTTCTACAATTTTCATAAAGACCCCAAATTTTTTCCTTTTTTTTTTTTGTTGCGATTTTTCTTTTTCTCTTTGTTGGTTTTCCTATCAACACTTTGTTTTGGTCTGCGTTTTCCTATCAACACTAGACATATTGATCCTGTTACCCAAAAAACAAAAGATGGATTGATCGTGTTATATTGCTGGGTTTGCTGATTTCCCAAAAACTTCAGAATTTAGTACGTGTTGTTGATAGGAAAAACAAAAAAGGAAACAAAACTTTCCTTGTTTGTTTTGCTGGAATTGAGTTTCCCATTCTGTCAACATTTCCTATTGTGTCAAGGAATTGATTTTAAATTTCTACAGTTGACAATTCCCTTTCCAAACAGGTCTTATCTATGTATATATAGGACCAAAACCTTACAACATACAACAAATTGTCAAAGACACTAAGAGAAGCAATGCCTAGGATGATGATGCTTCCACTTGTTGTCCTCCTAGTTTTTCATGTTTCTGCTTCTTGGGCAGCTTCAGCTTCTGTCTATGACAACTTTCTTCAATGCCTAAACACCAACACAAACCCATCATCAACCCAATTGTCCAACATTATCTATGCCCAAAACAACCCTTCATACTCATCTGTTCTAAGAGCCTACATCAGAAACTCAAGGTTCAACACCACTTCGACTCCGAAACCAGTCCTCATTGTCACACCCTCTGCTGCATCTCATGTTCAAGCCTCTGTTGTTTGTGCCAAACAGCTTGGCATACAGCTGAGAATCCGAAGCGGCGGGCACGATTATGAGGGCCTTTCTTACTGGTCTGATAAGACCTTTATTGTCCTCGACATGTTTAACCTCAGGTCTGTGACTGTAGACATTGAGGACAGCTCGGTTTGGGTTCAGGCTGGAGCCACACTTGGAGAATTGTACTATAGGATTTCGGAGAAGAGCAAAGTTCATGGCTTTCCTGCTGGTGTTTGTCCCACAGTTGGTATTGGAGGGCACATTAGTGGTGGTGGCTATGGAAATATGTTGAGGAAGTTTGGCCTTGCTGTTGACAATGTCCTTGATGCTCAGATTGTTGATGCTAAGGGGAGACTTCTTGATAGAAAAGCAATGGGAGAAGACCTGTTTTGGGCTATTAAAGGAGGGGGTGGAGGAAGCTTTGGTGTCATTGTTGCATACAAACTGAAGCTGGTTTCTGTCCCAGAAACTGTTACAGTTTTCCAGGCTGCGAGAACGTTGGAAGAGAATGCAACCGACTTTGTTTCAAAGTGGCAAGAGGTGGCACCAACCACAGATGACGGTCTGTTTATGAGGATGCTACTGCAGCCAGGGAGCAACACAGTTAAAGCCACAATCATCGCAGAGTTTCTAGGTAATGCTGACCAACTTGTGTCATTGTTGGGGAAGCAGTTTCCTGAGTTGGGTTTGAAGGAGGAGGACTGTAAGGAGATGAGCTGGATTGAGTCTGTGCTTTGGTGGGATAACTATGATAATGGGACCTCCCCTGATGTGTTGCTTGATAGAAATCCTGATCATGCAAATTTCCTGAAAAGAAAGTCTGATTATGTTCAAACCCCAATTTCCAAAAGTAGGTTGGAGTTACTGTGGAAGAAGATGATTGAAATAGGCAAAATAGGTTTGGTTTTCAATCCATATGGTGGGATGATGAGTCGGATTCCGGCCTCTGCCACGCCTTTTCCACACCGTGCCGGTAACTTGTTCAAAGTTCAGTACTCAGTGAGCTGGGGAGAAGCAGGGGCTGAAGCAGAGAATAATTATACCACAGACACCAGGAGGCTTTTCAGGTTCTTGACCCCATTTGTGTCCAAGAACCCAAGGAGTGCTTTCTTGAATTACAGGGACCTTGACATTGGTGTCAATAAATTTGGTAACAGAAGCTATGAACAAGGGAAGGTGTATGGCTTGAAGTACTTCAATGACAATTTTGATAGGTTGGTGAAGGTGAAGACTGCTGTTGATCCAGAAAATTTCTTCAGGAACGAGCAGAGCATCCCACCTAATCCAAGTTTCCACTCAGAGCCACCTAATCCAAGTTTCCACTCACAGCCACCTTTTTCAAGCTTGCACTTAGATGTGAATGGGGGGTCAAGTTCCAAACTATCAATGGGGAAGCTGAAGCTAGTACTGGTGTTCTTGTTTATTTCGTTTTCATTTTGTATTTAGTCAGTTCTTTTCCTTTCAATTTTGTATTTAGTCAGATATTAGTAGCAGATTGGCAACCCCTCAATTTTGTACCGTGGTAACACTTAATAAGAGTTGGTTGAAAGTATTTTTGTTCTCTGGAAAATAAATTTGTTCAAGTGTATTTGTCCCCTTAAGAAAAGACAGACAGCATTATATTTATCAAAAGAATTAGAGAGTGTTGCACAATGTTCAGAGACGGAAATTCATATTCCCCATTAATTAATCAATCATTCCAGGGAAAGTTTCAATGTCTAACAACAAAGCTCACTTTGCCTCCGACCAAGACTTCTTCACCTTGAACCGTCGGCACCCGTACGATGACAATCCGTATTACAAAAAAATGACTTGTGAACAAACAACAAGCATGGGGCATACCTTAACCTTCAGTGACTCCACCCCACTCTCTCTTACAAAGAATTTCTCCCTATTTCTTCTATTTTTCACAAAACAATTTGATAGGAACAAAAATATATAAACCCAGGGAGACCATGATTAGAGATTCCAGTGAAGCTATATATGCGTGTGTTTTGTGATATTTCCAGAACATGGTTAGCCTTTGCAGATCACATTACAATGACAAGGGTTTGTCCTTTTTCTTTTTTCTTTTTTCTGGATAAATCCTATCATGCACCAACAATGCCAGAGGCCCAAGGAACAACAAGTGGTGCAGATGGATGGTTGTTTCTGTATGATTCAGGATACTTGTCCTTAAAATTGAGTTTGGGCGCTTCTGCCTGCATTTTGAGAAATGAAAACAACAAATATTAGACTGGATTGGATCCACATAATCAAGACTAATCTGGACGAAACTTAAACCAGATTAAAAGAAAAATAAACAAAATGTGTCATTGTAGTGAAGAGGTTGTTTCATTCTTACGTATTTTAGCCAGCACTCTCCAAGTTTATGCTCATAGATATCTGGAGAATGGCAACCGCTTTCAGACGGGCAGTATACCCATATATTACATCTCTTTTCGTTAGGCTTAGCACGTTTAGCTTGATCCAAGCAAGCCTGACAACAGTCAGCTGCACTATCTTTGTGGTGGTTAAGCCCCCATCTTACAGCAGCACCATCATAATCTGTGTGAACTTCCGCATGGCATTCAGGTGGAAGTGGCCTTCCCGGCAAAATTTGATCTTCTAGAGAGAAAAAGGAATACATACATCAACACATGGAATAAGTCTCTACCAGACAATAGAGTTAATCTCTCAACACTAGCAGATAAGTATCATGACTTTTGTATTCTTGTAAAGGAAAATAAAATGTATATTGGAGGTTTATTTACGATAGAGAGAAGGGCAAGGAGCATAAACTAATGAATTACCTAACTCCTCCTCCTCTTCACCCTCAGGTTTATCGTGATGTTCTGTGTTAAGCAGGTATCCAAAGGCCCATGTCTTCCAACAGCACTGTCCAATCAGACTCCAAAGCTTTTACTAGCATTTCTATGGAGAGAAAAAATCAGAATACAAAACACCAGAGTTCGGTCAAAACAATAATTATTACCGTCAATAGACTACTGCATCATAGACAAATAAGATTATTTTGACCAAAAAAGAAACATACACAGTTCACAAATAATGACCACACCTGCTTCCTCATGAAGAATTGTTGAATTTGAAGCGTCTGTCTCAAGAGCCAACTGCTTAGCTTCCTTCAGTTTTTCTTTGCACCATCTTTCGACAAATTCTGTTTATTTAAGCAAACAGCATCAATAAGAGAAGTTGATAACCACCAGCAACAAACCAATAACATAACGAATTATATGACTCTTTGGTCAGTTTAATTATTAACAGCTGATAAGTGCTTCTAAAGAACTTAGTATGGACATGTGAGTTTAAATTAAAGTTTATAGATTAGAAAAAGGTCAAGCTAATTAGTGGGAACAGCAGTTTACAAAGAGAATATGGGTGGGTTTACATGCAATTAAGTTCCAGAATGAGTTGAATTAAAGCTTTACCAGCATTTCATTGTTAAACAGAAAATGTTATAAACTTGTCAGGTACAAGTGAAAGAAGCACTGAATACTAGAACAAAGTGTAAGCACTTTACACTCTGGAGCATATCTAAGTACTAAACACAAATGTGCACATATCTAAATTATGGCCAATCTTGCTGAAAAATAAAATTATATCAATATTGTATTTTCTAAGTTAACTGAAACAAGAATTATCCAGGCCACCACGCACTGCCCACCCCAAAAGAGAAACATGGTACTGAAAAAGCCACATTAACCTTGAAGTTTCTGCTGTAATCTGTTATAATTATTTGTAGTGCCTAGAGAAATACAGGGTGTGCCTAAAATAAGCCTTTTGCACTAAAATCTTTTTCTTCCAATGATCTGTCATAATATATAGAGAAAATGTACACGCTACCAGAATACCAGAAAGCCATTTGTTCCTTGAGACAAAACAAACAGCGGGATTTTCCTTCTACATCCCCTTCATACGAAATCTACCTAAACCTCATTTTAATTCTTTTTCTTCCTTCAATCCTAAAATTCAAGTTCTATTTCTGAAAAGAATACAGAAATGGGATAATTTCGCTAAGAAAGCTGAATCGATTTCGAGAATTTTAGTTTAAGATTTCATAGACGAAAACTCGACAGAGAAGAAAACATAAATTCATAATCTTATCAATTTCAAGGACAGAGTTGTCAGTCACTGCAAGATGATCTATGGTTTAAACCATTTACGCGCAATTGCATGACGATTAACTATTCTAGTGCAAAATAAAGATTGCCTTGAAATTCAGATAACAAAAAGAGATGAGCTAAAAAAAGGCGCACTAACCTCTCTGCTCAGTAACATTTGCTTTGGGCCTCAAGGTTTTCAACCTCTCAACTATCTCATTGGTTATCTTCAGTTTCAAAGGCTGTGGCAATTCAACCACTACCTCTCTGGAAAGCTCCTTCTTTAGTGCCTTTACCTTTTGAGCATAACAAAGAGTCCTCCGTTAAATTAAAAAAGTCACAGCAAACCGCTCTGCCGATTCAATCCAACAGATCTACCACCCAAACACTCAAAATGCATCTTACCAATCTAATGAGCTCAACCGGTTCAGCTGCTTTTCGAATCCGAACTGATTCCTCCATTTTCCTAATCTGATCTGGAGTGTACTCAAGAGCTGAACCAATATATTAACAGAACATTTCCTTAATTAAACAAGCATTCAACATTGAGAAACCTCATAATTTGCAACTGGGTTCTCCCAAAAAGACCTCAAACAGCAAGTGGGCCATTCAAAGCAACAAGATTTGAACAAAGCTTATAAAATCACAAGCTAGAGAGAGAGAAACGTACTGGGACGTGAATCTCTATCGGAGTAGATGTACAGAGAAGCGTAGAGAGAACGAAGAACATATAGAGCAACAACAATGTTAATGGAGCAAACGATGAGAGTGGTCTTCTTGTACGAACAGCCCCATTTCGCTCTACCTTTAAATCCCCATTCTCCTACCCGAGCCATTCCTTCGTGTCTTCTCCTTCATCCCACCATATCCACTTACCTCGTCACAGATCGATCACCATCAGAGACAGATCAAAACCCAAAAGCCTTAAACTTTCGAAACGTGGCTCCTGTTGAGGACACAACCCAGGTCTTCTTTTGCTCAGGCTATTCGTACGGAGCAGTGAAATGAGTGTTTTTGGGCTTCTGGGTTTTTCTTGTCGTGCCTAATTTGCTGCGATTTTGTGGAATTAATGCTAAGCCGTCGTTATGCAGTGATTATAAACAAATAAAAAAAAATTACTGGGGATGGAAAGCTATTAAAATAATGATTAAAATTAATGAACAATGAGGTGCCCAGGGGAATTATTAGGAAGATAGGTATTGATTATGGTGTTTTCTCAGATGATTCCGTGATTGTTGCTGTTCGCTCGGTAGTGGTGGAAGCCTAATCAACCTATTTGCCTTGCCTCCTCTGCCTTCTGCTAACGTGCGCTTTGGGTGTAGGTCCTGTGTTTTCCTTTTAAAAAAGGTAACATTTTACTATTTACCTCCTTTTTTTTTTGGTACAAACATTTACCCTCCATTTCATCCCACTCAATAATTTGTGTGTACAAACTTTATCATTAAAGTGACCCAAAAAAAAAACCTTTATCATCATACAAAGCTACTTTGTAAGCAACATTTTAATTGAAAAAAGTACACAGAAATTTCTGATGGGCTTGATCAAATCTAATTGTGACCACGGTAGCAATAAGATTCTAGTCCATTTCATGAGTTAGAGATAATACAAAGTGAAGTTTAAGTAGCTCGTTCTTTTTTTTTTTATGGAGATGTGATCGATATCGAGCGCAATTCTTAGTCCACTTAAATCCCTAACCTAATCCAATATTTGAAATTCATTGTGGATTATTTTCTAACTTAATTGACTAATTCGGATCCCGCAAATTAAAGAGCCTTGGGTTAAAATCTTCAACATTGAATATCCTACATAAAATAGGCAAACCATTATTCATTGCTTGATGTAACTTTCTAATTAAACGCGTATTGAATTACTTATTTCGTGATTAAAGGATTGCATCATAGTTTTGGACTCTATATGAGATATACCTATCACGTGATTTATACATTTATGTATTTATTTTGTGTGCAACAATGAAAGATGTGATGTGCCACATGCAAATTATTATTTTATTTAAATAGGATGAGGATATGATACATATGTTTGTCGCCGTTCTTTGATTAATAGTAGCATCTAAAATCTTGTTTTCTATATGTTGAGTTGGATGGTTTTAAATCATGACAAATTTACCATTAATAGAATATTATCTTAAATTGTATAACTATAACACAAAATCTAGTTATTTATTTTCCACAAATGGTTTTGTTTTATGAAGAATTCGATTTTCCAACTATATCACAATCCAATAAAGCATAAAGCTTACCCACTTAAGGTAAAAAAATTGTGATGTAGGAAAGTCAACTATTTTTTGGTAATTGTAAGAAAGTCAACCATCACAGTATAAAGCCCACTGACTTAACTATGCAGTGTTTCAATTTTATCGAAGGGCAAATAAATTGTTTAATGACATAGGATCAAATAGCAGTTGCAATCCCATTTAGAGAAGGAAAAAAAAAAAGAGTAAAAGCAAATATGGGTGAATTAGGCGAGTTGGTCAGGGCAGTTTGCCGCTAGCACCCAAGTTTGAGTATCCCTCCATATAGATTTATTTATTTATTTTATAAGCCCCCTCCCATATATTAGATGAGTTTTATCCATTGTATTAGAAAAAGAAAAAAAAAAAAAGAGTAAACTTTCAGAAAAAGAAATTAAAATTGAAACAAACTCAATACAATGAATGGGCCTCACAAATAAAATAGTTAATAAGGCTTAATGGGCAGATGCTCAGCCCAAGCCCAGTTTTCGCACCGAAAGGGAAAAATCGCGGGAAAATGCCGAACTGGAGAAGCAGCTTTTATTAGGGCACGCCCCTTGAGTTGAGACTTGGGGTGATTTGGGGGCTACCATCAAATCGAAATCAAAGCCATGGAGATGAACGATGGCGATAACGAAGAGTTTGGGTTCTCCAGAAATTACTTTCTGGCAAAGGAGCTCCGTGGCTCCGGCAAGAGATCTCATTCTAAGCTCTCTGATATTGACGTCGTTGACGAACAGGTAATGCTGGGTCGCCTTCAATTCCTTCAAAATCTCCCATTTCTTTTGTTGTTTTAGTTAAACCTTGAAACTTTGGCTGATTGGTTATTGTTTGTTTTCTTCTAATGTGCAGGAACTGATTGCAGCAGCATCTAAAATCGAACCAAAACATGAGAAGGAGGTCAAGGAATTGATGAACAGTTATAAGAGTTCGTACCCTGAATGGGCTTTTGAGCTAAGGTATTCTACCACCTTGTGATTAATCAGCAATGTCTCAAATGCTCTTCTCTTAAATTATCATTTGTGTAGATTGGGATCTAATGTAGGAAGGTTGCTTTCAAGTTAATTTTTGTGCCAATAGAGAAAATCAATTATCTTTCTGGCTTCTTATGCTACAAATTGTAGTGTTTTTTGTACTTGAGTATTGCCTATGGCAATTGGTGCCCTGATGCATTTATTAGGTGGGCAATGGGACTAGTATTTTTGTACCAGAAGGAATTGCATTGTTTCCTTTTAGCACTTGATTGACTTCTGGACTTGATGCCTGTTATTTATGAATCAGTTTCGACATAAATTGTAGTTTAAAGTTTTGAGATTTCCCTTTGATTTATTGTTTCTTAGTTATTAATTTGTGGGCAGGTGGTTTTGTCTTACACTTTTCTCTTTGCTTATACCATTTGTATTGTTATTGAACATCTATTTTGTATGTTCTTATTCACCCATTTTATTGTTCTTAGATGTGGTCTTGGCCTTCTTATGTATGGATTTGGATCGAAGAAGGCCTTGCTTGAAGATTTTGCTTCAACATCATTGACCGAGTATTCTGTGGTTGTTGTCAATGGATATCTTCCGGGAATAAATATAAAACAGGTATTAATTACTTGGGATACAAAATAGTCATAATTCATTTACCCATAATATCATGCTTACACATAAGAGCTTGTGCCCATTCCAAAGCAATATGCGAGTTTTCTGGATTTGCCAATTGTGTGGTTTATTCTTATTGGCAATATGATTTTTGATTCCTGCCCTACCATGTCATACGCAAGCTACAATGAACGTTGTGAACAATGTGCTGATCACCTTGAGTGCACTTAAGTTGTTCCGAGGTGGCCAAGCCCATCTTCCTTGTATGAAAATATGACAAAACCTGGAAGAGAAGAAATGGAAATAGACCCAAACCCAGGACAGGCATATGCCCTCAAGGCTAATTTGTGAACGGCAACATTCAACATTATCATTTCTGTTAACATGCTATCTAATGTTTGAAATATAGGTTGTGGCAGCCTTAGCTGAACTTCTGTGGGATCAACTGAAATCCAAAAGAAAGAATCCTGGGAGCTCTTCCAAAGTTCAACAGCCATTTAGTTCTAGATCCATGGATGATCTTCTTGCATTTTTGGATGAGGATAGGACAAACGAATGTTTTGTATGCGTTGTCATTCATAACATTGATGGGCCTGGATTAAGGGACTCTGAAACCCAACAAGTTCTTGCACAAGTTGCTTCTTGTTCCCATATTCGCATGGTGGCCTCTATTGATCATGTGAATGCACCTCTTTGTAAGTCTATTCTTGCTATAATTTGTTATATAATTGATAACAAACTGTCTGCATGAAACAAATGCTGCATCAAAGGATTGCATATGCTATCAAGTTTAATCACACCTTCTTTGCCTTTAATAGTGTGGGACAAGAAGATGGTTCACACACAGTTCAACTGGTGCTGGCATCATGTTCCTACCTTTGCGCCATACAAGGTTGAAGGAATGCTCATTCCCCTGATTCTTGCACATGGAAATACCACCCAAAGTGCCAAAAGTGCTACAATAGTTTTGCAGAGTTTGACATCCAATGCCCAGAGTGTGTTCAAAGTTCTTGCCGAATATCAACTATCTCATTCTAATGAAGAAGGTAAGTAGCTATAAAAGCCTACATGAACTCTTCGAAGCTTTAACCTTTCTAATCCATTGATCATACATTATCATTCATGTATCGATTTCTCAGGTATGCCCGTTGATAATCTGTATGCAAGCTGTCGAGAGCGCTTCCTAGTGAGCAGCCAGCTTACGCTTAACTCCCATTTGACAGAATTCAAAGATCATGAGTTGGTCAAGACCAAAAGGAATTCTGATGGCCAGGATTGCTTGCACATCCCTCTCACAAATGAGGCACTTGAAAAACTCATAGCGGAGCTCAGTCAGTGACTTGTTAAATTATTCGGGCCTCAAAGATTATGTAGATTTGAAGTCCTCCTGATAGTAGTGGCAATGATCCAAATTTCTCACTGCCTCCTTAGAAAGCTAGATAACTTGCTAAGATAAATCACGTGCGTGTTATTTTCACCTAAGGTTGTAAATATGAGAAATGACCATGTACGTTTTCAACATATTAAAGGCTATGGAATAAACGTGAAAGGATAGACATAAGCAATCTAAAATAGAGTATGATATTAGCACGTTATTGACTTTTAGCCTCTTCCTCTCCCTCTGGTCTTGCTTTTAAGCCGACGACTCATTGACCAATGCTCGAACCCTTGACCAGTGCTCGAACCTCTCAACAAGGGCTCGACCATCCTTAAGAAATTCTCAGATTCTCTCCAACGTGGTCGAGACTCCCGGGTGGTTGAAATTCTAAGAATCAAAGTCTAAAATGTCTTTATATCGTCCAATGTTTGGATATATTTCAAAATTTGCCGAGTAACAATGAGAGCTAGGGCTAGCTTTTCTCTTGCCTATCGTAGACCGAAATACATGGAAGCGTAACTCAACTGGAAAGACAAGGCGATTTGTTTGCGTTTACGTCTATAGCAAACCAACCAAACCGGATTTAGATGGACTTCTAACAGTGCGAGAAAACGACAAGAAGTCAACAACATACAACCACCCGATTAATCTCCCCCAAACAAATCGAACAGAAAAGTGAAATAAGATATCGATTTTTCGTTTCAGAAGAAAAAAACACAAATTTGGCAATTTGGTTGTATATACCTCTATCCCGAGTCCTTTAAATCTCCATCCAATCAAGCATCGACACGTTTGATACAAGGGTAATTGCGCAATTCAATTGCAGGCATAAGTGGCTCATACAGAATTTGGCCCGCTTTTTGTGGCGAAGTGTGGCCGAGTGTCGAGACAAATCAGATGAAGCTCTCTCTCTCTCTCTCTCTCTCTCTAATTGCAGGAGAAAGTCCAAAAGGGTCCAAGCTGGCCTCTCCCATTCCCCTGTATAAAAAAGCTGTGAATTTTTACTTGGTGTGAAAACCAGAGAAGCAGACCCGCTTCTCATCCATTTGATTGAATTG